CGGTGTCTACTCCGCGCGGCCCTCCCCGGCCCCCCCCCGCCGGCCTTTCGCCGCGCCTCTTCCCTTCGGCGCCGGCCCGGGAGCTGTCCGCGCCGCGGTGCTGAAAGAAGCCGTGCGGCGGCAGAGGGGCGGGGTCCGCGGGGCGGGGGCAACTTCTCCCAGACTCGACGGGGCAGGGGCGGGGCCCTGACTCTTAGGGGGCGGAGCTAGGCGGGAGTTCGGAGCCCGGAATCGCACCCGGCTTCTCTGAGGATCTTGTGTTTTCTGCCCTTGTCCCAGTACATAGTGGACGTTTCCGGGCGGATCTCTCAGGCGGGGGAAGGGGCGGGCAGAACGGGTCGTTAGGACTCAGGTGGTCTTTTGCTGAACGTTTCTTTCCTAGTCTTACCGCTGGGCCTGACCCTTGCAATGGTACAGTTAGATCTGTTGCCTGCCCTTATGAAGTGCCCTCCAGCTGAACTCAAATGCCCATGCAGAGCTCCTAGTAGCAAGCCCATCTAGGACCTGGTCCTGGGAGAATGGGGTAGGAGTACACATGAAGGGTACAAGAAATATGCAATAAGTTGCTTTCTTCAGAGGCCTGAGAGCTCTTGGCATACAGACTCTGCTTGAGAGGAGACCAGATTTAAAATGAACTATTAGCAAGTGACACACCGATAAAAGTTTCTAAATACTGATTGAAAATACACTAGAAGAAGCAGATGGGGATTGGATGAGGTTTATTGAAAGAGGCTTCTTGGAAAAGAGGAAGAGAAAGAGACCACTGTTCACGGAGCATCTCGGTGGGCTTGGAGCTTTGCAGAAGGTCCAAAGACCAGTTTTGAGCCAGGTCTTGGAGGGCAAGCATTCAAATGGAACATGTACCTTAAGCAAAGGCCGATGGTACAGTCAGTGCAAAGGGGCTGAGCTGGGGGCTGGGAGCAGTGAGGTTGGAGAAAAGGGGGATTGATAAAGACCCTCAGATGCCATTTTGAACATCTAGATTTAATTGGATGTACAACTAAGTTCTTAAGTAGTTAGACATGAAGGAAATATTCCGGTGAAATAAACTTTACAGTGGTAGGTGGGGGAGGGAGAATGGACAAGGAGGCTCAGTGAGATTTTTGCTGGAGTCCAGGTGAGAGGCTTGGAGTCCTGGGCTGGCTGTGCCTTTGCCACTCAGAGCCACAATGCCAGATGGGGGCCTCTTTGGCCACTGTGGCTGGGGGATGGGAACGCTGCAAATGTGGCCTCCTTGTGGGGCAGAGTTGTCTTGGCTGCCCCTGTGGGGCGGGGCAGGCTGGCTGTGGAGGAAAGGTGGGGCTGTTCCTCATGGGCTCAGTCTGTGGGGTGCTGAGCTCTGAGGAGGGACTTGAGCAGTGGTAGACTCGTTCACTCACTTATTCACTCATTCAAACATTTTCCAGGTCCCCACTATATGCCATGGCCCATGCTGGCTACAGGTGTTACATGGGGGCACAGTCCTAGTAATGGAGACAAATAAGGACATTACAGCACAGCAATGTAGTGATAGAGACATCACATGAGGTTGCTGTGGAGTCTGCATGAAGTGTGTGGGCTCAGCCAAAACTCAAGACGACCTCGTGAAACCTGGGCAGAGGTAGAGTCCATGGAGATCTCAGCCTAGTCCCTGTCCCTGGAACCCCTGACTTCTGGGCTCAGATCCTTAATCTAGAGAGAGCTGGTCCCATCTTTTGTCCACCTCCCCACCAGCTCAACTGCAGCCCTGGTGCCTCCTCTCTGTAATTACTAGCTGTGATGCTACTCCCCAACCCCAAGGCTCCCCTAATCTCTGACAGGTACTGATTCTCAGCCTCCCCAGGAGCCCCTGGGGCCTCAGTTCAAATTCAATTTGTCCCCATGATGGGCAGACCCAGGCTGGAAAAAAAGAGCTAGAAGGAGCAAGAACAGAGGCCTTCTCTCTCTCTTCCCAGGCTTGTCATTAAAGTATCCTCAAATGTCCTCCAACAGCATTCTCTCCCTGTCTGCCCCTCCTCCATTAAGTGTAGAAAGGTGCCGTTTGCCCTGTGCTCAATCCCCAGGGCAACAGGCCAGGCAGCAGGTGTGTGTGTTGAACAAGGCCATCTCCAGAGCGAGTGGCTAGAGATGAGCTTTGTTTAAATATTCAAGAAGTCAATCATTAATCAAGCCTGGCTTGGTGCCCAGCTACCGACTGTTTCCATTTGGGTGGGCCTGGACTGGAGCAGAGAGGGCTGTAGGGAAGTTTGTGAGGCTACTTGCGTGTCAGGTGGCTGAAAAGTAGCTTTTGAGGGCTGGATTATGCAACTCGACATAGGGTAGACCAGAAGATCAGCAGAAGGATGTGTTGGCCAGTATACAGAGCACTATGCTCATATACTGGGCACCTATGATTTACATAGGAATGTCCAGTTCTACTTTATTACATTTTATAAGGGGACTGAAGCAGCATCCTCTTTCTAACTAAAGCGAACATTCCTTGGACACTGCAGTCTCAGTCTAGCCTGACAATTGGGCACCTGAAGAAAACAAGGCTGTGTGACGAACGAGTTCTGGGCATGAATTGAGGTGGAGGCTGTTTTGGAGGGATACAGCCACTGAGTCATTAAAACCATGGTTCCTGGGTCCCTAGGGGAAGGAGGTTGGCCTGGAAGCCATGGCATACAAAGAATATATGGAATCACACAGAATCATGCAGAATCAATCACCTGTGCATATGGCCTTGCATACATGAATTCACAAACACACAGTTACAACTTCCCACGTACCCAGATCGGCCACGGCTGCACTCAATTGCAGTTGGGTACTATGCATGCAAGCCGTCCCCTCCCCAGCCTCCCCCCAGCCCTCTCTGGCTTGGCCTTCCTCCTCCCGTCCCCAAGCCTCACCAGTTGCACTGGTGTCTAGTCCAAGCTCCACCATTCAGCGCTCATCCATGGAGGCTTCCCGTTGTGCTGTGTGAAAATCCGAATGGTCAGGATGATTGAGCACAGCATCAGGATGAGGCAGAGGCTCAGAAGAATCCACTGTCTTTTGGCAACCTTGCTGGGCTCCATGGCTATGCCCAGGAAGTAGGTGTTGGATGGTGTCTCAAGTAGTTTGGTTTTCTGTGAACCGGTGTCCTGTGTATTGGTGTCCTGTACATTGCTGTCCTGAGTCAGTGACCTTTTTTCCAGGGAGTACAGCCTGCAGGCCAGCAGGAGGGCCACCAGGAACAAGACAAAGCTCAAGGCCAGCAACACCCACTGTCCGAATTTGGCCTGCTGAGAGTCCAGCTGTAGACTCAGGAATTTTACCTCGTGTGTGTCTTTTTCTGTGGAAGACATGAGAGTCTCATAAAGCAGGCGGAACTGGGGAGGGGGCCCTGAGTTGCCCTGTGGTCATCAGAAAGGGTCCGACTTCCACTGGCCTTTACTCTCAGCCTCAGGCACCTACCTCCCATGCCACAGGTGAGAGCATTGTGCTGGAAGGAGGGCGAGAAAGAGAAGTAGAAGGAAGAGAAGGAGTACATACCCCATGGAGCCAATCAGGGGCTCCATGCAAGGGTTAAGAGGCAAGATGCCCACCCTGTGCTCATATGCCATCCTGGAAGTCTAGCTGGGCAGTGCACAGGAAAGCAATTGGGGCATGGGTTGGGGCATGGGCTGTGTTCTTGGCCGAGGCTGCATCAGGTGCAGACAGGGTCACGCAGCAGCCACGTTGTGCTTGTTCAAGCCAGGTGATAGATTGGCTAAGGGCTAAGGCTGAGTTGGGTTAGGGGCTGGCCTAGAAGGCTAGGGTAGGGCTTGGGACTGGACCAGAGTTGGGACCAGGGGCAGATTATCAAACCTTCAAAGGAACAGGAGAAGTCCGGCCAGCCCAGGATCTCCCCTTGACGCACGTTCTCGGTGACCAGCCAGTTTAGCAGAGGCTTGAAGTAGGTCATAAGGGCCTTTGTGGACATCTTGCTATTCCCAGTTATCCTCTGCAGGACCTCTGGCCAGGGTTTGCTGGAACCCAGCTTTAGGATATCCCTGAGACGGTGGGTACAACTGTAAGGCTGTGTAGGGTCATCAGCTGGTGCTGCTAGGACCCCCTCAGTATGCCCAACTTTGGCTCAGAGCTCAGCATAGTGTATAAAAATCAGAAGCTTTGAAATAAAACCAATCTGGGTTTGAATCCTGATCTGTCATTCAGTAGCTGTGGGACCCTGGACAAGTAACTTAACCTTTCTAAGCCTCAGTTGCCATATCCATAGGAGATTATAATAGTACCTGTCTCCTAGGGTTGATGTGATGATTGAATAAGCCACAACGCTGGGAGTGTAGTAGGCAGGCAATGAATGTTAGCTGTCCACTTGGGACAGAGGAATAAAAATTACTATTATTATCATTTTAAAAAATTATTATTGCTATTTTTATTACCACTACTGTGGTGATTATTATTCCCCTGGACCCCGATGGGCATGAAGTCTCGAGGCACTGTTTCCCACGATAGACTCAGTGTCAGTAGGGAGAGGCAGCTCTTCGGCCCCTTTTGGTCTCACGGGGAGTGTTTGAGAGGATTAGAGAGATAAAGAGCATGGGATGTGCTCTGCGTATGGCCGTAGTACTGTACAAATGTCAGATCTGCTCAGGACACGCCCAGCGCTTGATGGCAGGGCGTCAAGCCTCAGGCTTGGCCTGCATACTCATGGTGGGGGTACAGTGTGCTGAAGCCAGACCTCTAGGCTCTTCCAACTGAGGATTCCTATGGAGGCAGCAGGGGGCATATATTGAGCCTTCTCAACGTGTTTCCCAGTCTGAATAGGAGAGAGGTGAGGTTTAGAGGCTCAAAAATCAGAGAGTGGTGTCTATACTAACAGGACGCAGGTTCAAGATCCAACAGTGCTACTTATGGACTGTATAACCTCAGGCAATCAACCTAACCTCTCTTAGCTTCAGATTCCTCAACAATAAAATGGGCCCCATTAATACCTGCCTTTCACTGTGGTGAGGATTAAGTCACATAATGGTGGTGAAAGAGAACTTTGTAGCTTGCAAAGACACACCACTTAATAAACAACTAGGAAAGAATGAGGTAAGGAAACTAATGGTCAGTGAGTCCTCAGCAGAAGCCACTGGGATAGAAATATAGTTCAGATGCAAGAGAAATGGAAGAGAAAAGTCATCAAGATTAATAGAAAAAAAACAAAAACAAAAATCCACAACCAACTTTAGGTAAGAGGATTTTATCAGATGCTGGGTCCTGGGAAAAGGGAAGGACCTTGAGGGGGAAATGCTTTGACTATTGAGAATCTGCCTATTTAGAAAGAGTCTTTCACACAGGGTAGAACATAAGGTTAGACTTAAGCCCAGCGGTTTAAGTCAAGTTAGACTTGACCCACGTAGGCAGCATAAGAGACTTGCAAAGGTGGCATCTGGGAACTGCCTGAAGCTCTGAACTCCAAGGTGGCAGCAATGGGTCAAGCCCACCGTGGCTGGCTGTATGAGACAGAGGGACTTTGGGAACTAGGACCAAGTTCACTTTGACCCTCCCTTTACAACAGAACCAGCCAGGAGGCTGTTTCAGGGCAATTCCATTTAGAAAGATGAGTCAAAAGTAGCAAGATCAAATTTTCAGATATAGTAGGCAAAAGAGCAGCCAAGAATCTCGCCCAAATCCTTCTCCTGTGTAAGCACTCATTTCCCCCTCCCCTCCACAGCCCATATTTCACTCTGCTACCATCCCACCTCCCTAAAGCTCATGACATCCCCCTTTCTCAGAGACCTCTCTGCCCTCTGCAGAGGTGTTTGAAGTCCTCAACTTGGAACTCAGAGTCTTCCCTGAGCAGGGGTCTGGACAATGATGTATGAGGACTGGTGAGCAGTGACCAGCCACGTGTGGCAAGTCCTCTACATGCTTTGATGTCAAGTCAGAGTCTGGGAGCCTTGTATGCCCTGAGTGAAGTGGAGGAGGGAAGTGGCGAGAAAGACTGAGTCAAATGTCCCACCAATCAAGTGGGCTGAAGACTCAGAGTTAAAAGTGAGTGGATGTATAGAAAACAAATGTCTTATTTTTTGCACTCTTGTGTTTGGAGACAGAGATCCCTCCTTTGTACCCCAGCATGACCTTCTCACCCTCTTTGCATGTTCACCAAAGTCCTTTTCTACTGTACCAGCTCCCTTTTTGTATTGTGGTTATTGATTTATCCTGTGACCCATTGCCCCCTGCTGGATACAAGCAGGCTGGTCACCACGGGCACAAGTAAATGTTTGCTGAATGAATAAATGATGGGCAGTCAGGCATGAATTCAGAGAGCAGAGAGGCCCCTTATGTTCCATGCATTCAGAAAAGCTCTACCTAGGCAGTCAACTAGAATAAACCCCTGTAGTGTGAAAAGATGGAAAAACAAATAGCCTAGAGAGACAATAGGCTGGCAAGGTACAGCCTTCCCTGGGAGCAAAGCCAGGGGATCAGTCCTGTAGCTCCATCTGGCCTGGTGGTTACTGACAAACTGCATGGTGGGATCACAAATATGCTCATTACATTTGCAAAGGGTACTAAATGATGTGGATTTGTTAATCCTCTGAGAGACAGGAATAAAACTAAAGATGACCTTGACCAATTAGGGAAATGGACCTATTGAAATCAGTTGAAATTCAAAGACCATGTCAGTGTTGGAGCGTTGATCCTAGGACCAGTAGACCCACGTCTGACCTCAGAAGACCTGTATCTTTTGACTGAAAGCACCAGGGTGAAAGATACTGTGTTCCAGACTCAGTTTGGGGCTCGGTGCATGACTTTGCCCCTTGTCAGATGACTGACATGCAATCACATTACCTCTCATAGCTTCAGTATCTTCATTTGTGGAATATGGATAATATCTACTTTGCAAAGTTATAAGCTACTAACATGAAACCCTGTAAGAGCATTCATTAGCGAACCTAGAGTAGTAAATGCTTCCTACCATCAGGTCAGCTTACTGCTCCCCCTGCCCCTCTCCCTGTCAGGACCAAAAACCAACTCCACAGAGGCAGGAATTGGAAAAGAGAGGCAAGATGCCAAGTGCAAGAAAAAAGACTTGGGGGAGAGGGTCAAAGTGGACCACAGGCTGGCCAGAGCGTGCCGAGAGGTTGGCATGAAAGCAGTCTGGATCAGCCTGGGAACTGGATCGAAGCATCTCCAAGAACAGGTGGGAAAGGCAGAGTGCACCCAAAGGTGCATCAAATGCTGCCCAGAGGATAGGCAAGCACCTTGCAAGGAAAGACTAAGGGGATTCAGATGGAAGACTGCCTTCCCATCTGGGATAGTGTGATTTATTGGCATGTGCGAGTGAGTGAGTGCGTGTGTGCGTGTGTGTGTGTGTGTGTGTGTGTGTGTGTTTGTGTGTGTGTGGGCATGTGAGTGAGTGGTGAGAGTGTGTGTGTATATGTGTGAGTGTGCGTTTGTGTGAGAGTGTGTGTGAATGAGTGAAAGTATTGTGCTCATGCATATATGTATGTGTTAGCAGGAGGGGCTAAACAGTCTCTCTGATGGGAGTTGGGGCTACACGAGAGGAAATGGAAATGGGCTTTGATGACTGCAGGAGAGACTGCAGTCCTACATGAGGAAGAATTTCTGTTACAGTACAAGCTCCGCTCAGGGGGCCTAGGGTAGCCGTGAGGAGGGGCCTGGGGCAGGCTGCCAACAGGGGAGGGAGGAGGAACTGAGAGCAAATGAGGGAGGAGGGCACTCACTCCAAGAGCTTCCCAGCCAGCTTGGAGTTGTAGATGTCACACCGGTGCAGTGGACCCGTGTGGCCTGAGGCCTTGCACAGAGCTTCGTGGAACTGGAACTGGATCACCAGGCTGAGGAAGTACCTGGGTAAAGGAATGTAAGGGCAGACTGGGAAGTGGGTGTCAGGGGTGGGCAGCCCAGAGCCACGTGGAGCCAGTCAGCTCTGACATGCAGTGGCCAGGAGGGTCCAGTCAACAGGCACAGCCAAGGCTGAGGTTTCTTCGGCCAGACCCATCCTCGGGCTGGCCCTAGGATACTGCAAGGCCTCTCCCCTTCAGCCCTGGAAACAACCTTTGCCTCCCTAATTCCCACCCTCCTCTGGGGGACAGCAGAGATGGGTTAGAATAATCCCATCAGCTCTGCCCTTCACACAGGATTTGATGTCAAAGCCCAGAGGATTCCAAGGCATGGCTCTCTGAGGGCCGTGCGACCTGGTAGTAAGAGGCGGGTGGGGACGCAGGGAGACATCTGGATATAGGGCCTTCCTGGAAGTCCCCAGCCTGGTGCCCATGTCCCCAACCCCCGACTCCCCAAGCTGGTCCTGCTGGCAGGGCCCAGACCTTTACCGTATGTAGGGCACGCTGGCAGAGATGTGGAATTTGGCACCTGGATCAAAGTCATCCTCTGTCCGAGGAACAGGGGGGCACAGGCCCTGGTACTTCAACCTGGCAGGGAAAACGGGATTCGATGGTGCCACCCTTTAGAGTTCTCAGAGCCTTTTTATTTTGAAGCCCTTGCACGGCTATCAAAACAGGACCTGGTGTGCAGAGGACACTTAATGCATTTTTACTGATTAAATAAATGAGTTGAAAACATATGGGGCTGGGAGTCATAACATAGTAACAGTGGTTAACACTCACTGAGCACTTTCTCTGTGCTAGGAACACTCAACACTGTCCTGGTTCTGGGAACGCAGGAGGGAACGAGCTAGGCAAGGTCCCTACTTGCATCCTAATGACAGGGGCCGGTTTAGACCAATTGACAAGGTCATTTTATCTAGAAACAAGTACCAAGAAGAAGACAGAGTAACATCCCTGTGAGGTAACCCTGCCGTTATTCCCATTCTACAAACGAGGAAACCAAGGTTTAGAGATCAGGAAACTGGCTGCAGGACACAGAACTAGTCGTTGGCAGATCCCAATAACATTCGGGTTCGTATAGTTTTACCCCTGAACTGTGTGACTGTGGGAAAGTCACGAATTGCCACTGAGCCCTGTTGTAAAATGGGGGTCTGTAAAATGTGCATAAAATGACCCATCTTTAGGATGAAACAGTCTTTGAAAAGGCTCGTTGTCTTACTGTTAGCTCACTAGAACCTCTGAATCATCCTCTGGGGCTGACGGAGTCGGGAGGCTCCTCTCCCAGTTGGCAGGGCCTTGTTCAGGGCCCAGAGAGCCACCACCCCTCTCCCTCAGCCCCTGGTCTCCATCAGGTGGTGTTGGGTGTGGTCCACAGGAGGAAAAGGGTCCCTGCAGGCACCTCGGATGGCTGGTAGGAGGTGCCCTTGTAGGGGCACAAGGCCAAGACTCTGCCAATCCTATTGGTGAGACCTGGTCCTGAATCTGGGGTGGGGTTAGGAGGGTGAAAAGACAAAGGAAGGAGTGCCCAGCTCTGTCACCCCTGGGCTGCTGTGCAACTGTGGGCTGGGCACATATTCTATGAATGACTGTGGGTTGTTATAAAGGTTCAAATAAACTTAAGGGCTTGTGCAGACCCTTCATGGTTGCTCCAAAAGACACCGTGGTTGGCAGATTTGAACTAGTCAGTTTGAGGCCGGACAGAGAGAGAGGCGCTCTGGCCACCAGCATTCATTATACAATCAAGTGGCCAAGGGTCAGTGATGGGGGGCCATGCCAGTGCTCCTCACTCGAGAGTGACACTGCCTGACCACTGGTGGCCCCTTCGGCAGCCAGTTCCGACCTCAGACATGCTAGGGATGCTAAGTCAGAGACAGGTGTGCGTGCGTGTTGGGGCAGTGGAAAAGAGCACAGTGAGCTTGCCTCTCTCTTTTGGGGACTCTTTCCACAGGAGGGAAAGCGTTCAGGTCCTCTCTGCTGGCCCCAGTGGTGGGAACAGAGAGGGAGGAGAAGAGCAGGAGGGCCTGCCTGGTGGGCAGTGTTCTGTTCTTGGAGGAGCCCGGGTGCAACCATTATGTGAGCGTCCCAGCCCCTCAGGGAGCAGCTGGGGCCACCACTGGGATCCCTAGAAAGGTTAAGAGGCCTGCTCAGTGCTGGTGCCAGATTCAACGGGAGGCCTCATGACCACCCATGCTGGCACCTATCCACTTCAGCAGGGATGCTTTTGTCTGGTGACTGCAAACAGCCAACACTATCCCAGGAGGCCCTCAACTCACCAGCATTGCTTGCCCAGGTCTGTCCTCAGAGGAGACTTGGCTGCCCCCTTGAGGCTGACCCGAAAGCCCTGCCCACACCAGGGGTGTAAGGGGGCAGAAAGCACAGGGCAGCAGTCTTCCTCACCTGAGGTTCCACCACTCCAGGTTGTAAGAGCTCTTCTGGATGGTGCCATCAACTTCCCCAGAGGCCCTCAAGTCACCAGCATTGCTTGCCCAGGTCTGTCCTCAGAGGAGACTTGGCTGCCCCCTTGAGGCTGACCCGAAAGCCCTGCCCACACCAGGGGTGTAAGGGGGCAGAAAGCACAGGGCAGCAGTCTTCCTCACCTGAGGTTCCACCACTCCAGGTTGTAAGAGCTCTTCTGGATGGTGCCATCAAAGACTTTCCAGCGAAATAGGTCCATCAGGTAGGAGAAGGGAATGAAGGCGATCTTGTCCAGGGCAATGCCCATCAGGAAATTGACCTCCTCCTCTGGGGAGGGCAGGACAGTCAGGAGGTGGCTCCTGGCTCTCCCTCCCTTCGGCTTTGCCTAGAGAGCCCTAGCGGCCGCCCCAGGCTTCGGCTGTCCTTCTGTGGTCCTCGCAGGCCCTATCACCTGAGTCCTGGTGCTGATGGCTGAGCAGGCCTCTGTTGAGCAGGTGCTTGTGGGAGGAGGCCGAGAGGGTGACCACCGACCCCACAGCCTCTTCAAAGGCTGGGTTGGCGCCTGCGCGGAAGATCACTGGGAGGTTCTTATACTGCATGAAGTACTGGATGTGGCCCATCTGGTGGAAGACGGATAGCAGGTCTTCTATGGTCACCTCAGTGCACTTCTTTATCCTAGGGTTAAATGACAGAGGTCAAGGAGCATGGGGATGTGCTGGGAGAAGGAGAGATTTCTCCATTCAGACTCTTAAGGGGTTGGGTGGTTGGGCCAGAGACCAGCAAGGCCTCAGTTGCTGTATTTTCTGCCTCCAGGCACCATATCCAACCAGCGGCCACGACTTTTTGTTCTCACACTCACCTCACCCATGTTGCTGGCTCACATGCTCCCTCTCTGCCCCAGCTCCACTCTTTCTCCCACTTCCTAAGACAGGCAGGGCAGATAGGTGGGGAGTGGAAGGGGCAGAGGAAGAGCGAGAGAGGGCCAGGAGGGTGGTGCTGGCCGCTGGGTGAGCACCTGAAGTCCTTGCCGTTGAAGAAGTCCCAGGCAGAAGTATGGCACTCCACCGCCCGCCCGTCGGTCGGCCTTTCTATCATCGACTTTTCCCAGAACTCGGGAGGGGTGGAAAGCAGCCCCAGGGAGGTGATGAATTTTTCAGCCTCTTGGAACATTTTCTCAGGTTTCCAGTGCTGTGGGGAAGAGCAGGTGCGTGGGGCCCTGCCTAGGGGTGTGGAGCAGGCAGGGGCAGTCAGAGGCCAAGCGCTTACCTGGATTCGCATGATCTTTGTGATGTCCTCAGGGGGCTTATCCGGGAAGGGCAGGACCAGGTCCAAGATTTTGACCCAAGACTGAGCCCACATGTTCCCTGGAAGGGGAGTGGAGGGGCTCAGAGGAAGCAGGAGACAACTCTCCGCCCTTACTGAGTGCCTGCTTGGAGGCCTCCTCTGCCAGCCCCACCTCCACTGCCAGCGGGGGCTTTACCCAGGAGGTGGGCAGGGATGGGCCCCTTCAAGTTAATGACTCCGGGCCCGTAGTGGCGGTGCAGGGCCCGGCGCACGTAGGCGTGCAGGTTCAGGTAGAGTGGCTGCAGCTCCTGGTAAAGCTGTTCCAGGTCTTGTTCCAGTGTGTTGGATTCATAGCGGGATCGCCACAGGGCTCCCATGTCTTTGTAACCTAGGATGGCAGGGGTTGGGGGCCAGGCTCAGAGGTGCTCACGCTGAGACCCATGCGTGTGCTATTTGCTCAGGTGGGGCTGGCCAGGGCGGTGAGGGGCGGGTGCGGTCTTACCATTGAGCATTGCAGCCTTGTTGCTGAGGTGCACGTAGTACTCAAAGGCGACACGGAGCTGACGCCCCGCAGCATCCCTCCAGCCCTGCCAGGCCCACAGCAGCTCCTTATAGTCCCGGGAGGTGGCCATGACTTCTTCGAGGTCTATGTCCGGAAAAGGAGCCAAGGTGGGACCCTTATTCCCTCCTGCCTTCTGTCCTCATCCACCCTAGACAGCTCCCAACCCCCAAACAAGGAAACACAGTTGGGGCAGGGAGGAGGATGGGAGTTGGCGGGGCGGGGCGGGGGCTCTTCGAGGGGGCTGGTACAGTTGAGTAGGGCGGCGCTGTGGGGGGTGTATGAGCAGGGCTTGGGCACTCACCGGGCTCCAGGGGCATGCAGGGCCCCTCATTCAGGCACACCTGGGCCGTGCTGTACGTTGTCTCCATGTAGGCCAGAATCTTGTTGTACTGGGGGGGCAGGTGTCACCCAGAGCAGGCCCGTGCTGTGGGCCCACCCCCAGTGCTAGCCCCACCAGCTGGGAGAGGGCCTGGCTGAGGCATCTTCCCACCAGCCTCCCCTCCCCTCCCTCCCCAAAGGAAGCTCTGGCCTTGCCCACCAACCTCCCTCCTGCCCCACACACTCCAGCTCCCGCCCTGCAGGCCCACCCACCCCTGGGGCGGTGAGCATGCTCCTGGAGACCTGGGGGCTCCGTCCATCACCTCCCGGAGCTCGTCCTTGGGCAGGGCCGCTTTGTCTATGTTCTGCAGCTTACTCAGCATACGCTTAATAGTCGGGTCCTGGAAACTGGCGTTCTTAAACAGGCGGGCCCGGGTGCCAAAGTACAGCATGTGCCGAGACTTCTCTGTGTCCTTGTACAGCTGGAAAGAGGGTCACCATATTTGTTGTGGGAAGTTGGGGGAGGGAGTGAGGGTCCCACATTGAACTCCAGGGCCGCAGACCCCCAGCTTCCTCCTGATCCCTACTTTAAGGGATCAGAATCATTGAAAGTTTGCTAACAGGGAGAAAGGAGGGAGCCCGGGTCCCTAAAGGCAAGTAGGTGATATTTACAAGGGGAAAGCATCAAGAGATTCTTGCCCAGAGAACCTTTAGTGCCACCAGGAGGCACGGAGCTTGTAGCTTGTTTTAACACGTACTTTTGGGCTTCCCTCTTTCCTCTAGCTCTGGATAGGGGGTGCAGTGGATTCCACAGCCCCCTGCTCTTCTCAGGGGAAAAGGGGTTAGAGCGAAAGTGGTACCACACCATTTCTTTCCGATTTTTCTTGGTAATGTTGGTGACATAGTTCCAGGTGGCCTCCGTGAACCGGTTCCACACGATCTGGGCCGTATGCTCATAAAACTGCAGTAACTCCTTTGCCACAGTCTCATGGTAGAGCTCGCCTGCCAGGAAGGAGATGGGCATCGTGCTGTCCTGGTAGTGGCCTGCCCCTGCCTGGTCCCCTTGTTACATCCCATGCTGCTTTGGGTCCCGGCCTCACCTGAGCTCTGATAACCCTCGGTCCTGAGCCATGGCAAGAGCTGCCCATAACAGAAGAGTACAAGTAGGGAAGGTCCAGGGCAAGTCCATCTTGTGCCCATGACCAAGAGAACAGCAGAGCTGGGGGAGGCTATAAGCCAATCGCGATCCGGCTCCATATTATGACATCAGGGGCTAAAGGGTCAGCCATGGAATGTCAGAACTGGAAAGCCCCCACCCACCTTCTGGTTTAACTGTCCTCATTTCACAGATGAGGAGACTGAGGTCCAGCATGGCGAAGCCATGTGACCTGGTTCAGACAGCTAGTTAGTGACAGAGCCAAGAGGAGAACCGGGGCTCTTGACTTTTAGGCTAGAGCTGTTCCACTCTGCTTGTTCACTTCTCCCTGGCTTTGGAGCCATCCTTGGACCTTGACTAGGAATTGATGAGACCCCTCCCTTCACAGGCTGAAATCCCCTCTGAGCAGGTGGATGGGGGTGATGGATGGATGGATGGATGGATAGGATGGAAGTGACATCTCTGAGTCTCTGGACTCCGGAATCATAGTTGTCTCCATGTTCTTCTGATTTGACCGCCTATGTTCGCATATTTGGCTCTTTTCTCTCTGTGGGATGTGCGATCATCTCCAGGGCTGTGCAAGACCCTTCCTCTCTTTCCATCCCCAGGGATTACGAGTTTGCAGTCAGTGGGAAGAACAAAAGAGAGACAGAGGTCTGTGAGGGGTGTAGGGAGGGAGGTGTGGCTGGCACCGTCCATTCATGGTGCACGTCCATGATACCTGAGCCTGGTGCGAGCATCGACTGTCAGGATTCCAGCTCTCTGCCAGCCTTTGGTGACTCCCTGGTAGCCTGACACATATAGTCTGGGGAGACCAGCCCCATCCATCTCACTTGGGGATTCCTTTCTTAGACTCACTTTCCTCCACAGCCCCACTTCCTCCGCCCTGTGTTTCCTTCACTCACACTGTTCAGCCCAGTGCATCCACATCCTCATACCCCTTCACACAAGCTGGTATCATTACCGGAGAAACTGACCAAACCATCCTTCAAATATGATGTTATACTCAAAAGTTTTTCTTTTATTATTATTTTTTAATTTTTTTTAGGCAAGGCAACCCTTGGTTGACCTCGCAGATTGCAAGGACCTTGTCAGTTTACAATCCCTTATTTTTTAATTTTTTTTTACGCCTATAACACCTGGTCTTCCTAGGTGGTCTCCCATCCAAGTACTAACCAGGCCCAACCCTGCTTAGCTTCCGAGATCAGACAGGATTGGGCTTGTTCAGGGTGGCATGGCCGTAGACTATAATCAAAATTTATTTAAAACACAAGGAAAAAATCAATGACACTTCTGGTTAACTGGCAGACTGAGCTCTTAGGGAAGTCTCTCCTCCTGCTTCAAGCATACAGACATGTTTGATCAAACAGTATTTTTTGTCTGCTAACTAAAGTCACCGTGTGAGACATTACAACCCAGAACTTACCTTATAAAAGGAAGTTTATGCCTTTTGACCAACTTCACCCATTTCATCCACCCTCTCTCCTTCCACTTCTGGTAACTACCAATTTGTTCTCTATAAGTTCATTTTTATTTTCTTGTTTGTATTTTGTTTTTAGATTTCACATATAAGTGAAATCATACAGCATTTGTCTTTTTCTGACTTATTTCACTTAGCACAATGCCCTCGAGGTCCCTTTATGTTATTGCAAATGGCAAGATTTCCTTTTTTAGGGCTGAATAGTATTTCGTGTTCCATTCATCCACCGAAGTGGGGTTTGGGAGGTGCTGGAGAGATCAGAGAAACTGTCCAGTAACCATAACTACCTTTGGCTCCTGTAGGTAAGAGTGAGCTGGTCACCCAGGAGTAGGTGCCCGGCAGGCACAGCACGGGGAAGGGGCTCAGGCTTCAGGCCACCAGTAGAAGGTGCTGGAACAGCCTCTATTCCTGATGTCACCACCTCTTTCTTCCTTTGCCACCTTCCAGGTAAACAGGGCTACATCCTCCCTCACCCAAAGAGGCAGAAATAGGAGTCTAAACAATTTTAATATTTCAAAAGGCCTAGTAGATAAGGCTGATTGGGCTGACCACAATGTGTTTCTTTGCCCTCATTCTGCAGCTCAGACCTGTGGGCATTGAAAGCTGGTTCCTTCACATTGCTCACGAGCTCTCACTGGCAGCATGAGCCTCTGCAGTTCATAGAGATAGGAAAGAGGGTGATGTGAAGATGACCTTTGTCTGGCAGACAAAGAGCTTTCAAAACATCAGGGTGGGGAAGAGGGTAATTAATGGAGTCTATTGTGGGAGAGGCTTGGAACTATTTAGAGGATTTGTTTATAAATTCCATTGTCCTAAGTAACTGTAAACTTCCATACTCTTGCGTATCCCAAATACCTCAACTCCACATCCTGCCTCGTGGAACAGGCCTGTACAACCAAATCTATGTGCAACAAACACACACACAGACACAGACACAAACACAGATAAACGTGGCAGCTGGAGGTGGAGGGAAAAAAGTAAATTAAAGGAGATTGGGGGACAGATATTAGGGGTTGGGCCTCAACAAAGCTGGAAAGAGGCTTGAGGCCGAGGGTCCTGACAGAGGGGGCCAGGCTGGCAGTGGAAGCCTCTGGCCCCAGAAAACTGACCAACTTCCATTTGGCCAGGTTCTAGGTTTGACATTTAAATATCTGAAAAATACATCTAGCCATGTTCCCTGGAAAAAGGATACACAACACAACTGTAGGTACAGTGTGATCCCGTTTAAAATAAAACGTGCTGAGAAAAAAGGGCGGGAAAGATAGACACCAACATGTCAACAGTGCTTATCTCGTGATATTGATATAAAGGGCTTTTATTTTATTATTCTCTGTATTTTACAAATTTTCTATGATAAACATGTCGATAAAAGTTATAAAAATGTCCCTCAAAATGATACTCCCTCAAACCCATATTGGCCTTCTGAGAGGAGGCTCAGGGTGAGGGCATGCACTGGGGGACAGGCAGGGGTAGCCTCCGGCAGCTGTTCCTACATGGGCGCCAGCTACTACCATGCTCCAGCGTTTAGGGCCCCTCTCCAGCTACGGAGAAGGGACCTGGACCTGGTCCCCAAGGGCAACACTCAAGTGGATCTGTCCACTTACACAAGTGGACATAAAGCTGATGTAGGCAGGAGGTTGAGGGGACCGTGGGGCCAGTTCTGTACCTTCAATGAGTCAGGCACAGGCAAGGCACTCTCCCCCAGGGGAGCATTCCATCTGGGAGCCCCAGCTATTTATGGAAACAGCTGGGGTAGGACTCCTGAAGCACATGGGAATGTGAGGCCAGAAACTCAGGATGTCTGCTTCCCAGAATCCTCCTGGGTTGGTGCCTGGGCTGGGCAGGGACTGACTGCCAAGACAGGACACTGGCCGATTGCCTGGCTGGAGGGAAGACAGGCGTGGGCGCTGCTGGGTGGTGCCAGGGCCAGAGCGCGGGGTCATTTTCCCAGGCTCTTCTTGGAGGAGTCTGAAGACGCCCATTGAAGGGACCTGCTTGGCTGCCAGGAAGCAGGAGAGCATCCCCGACCTTGTCCCTGGCTTCCCGGTGAGGGACACAGACTCAGATGGGAGGGCAGGACCTTTAATTGTATTCACAGAGAGGCTGGGGTGGGGGGGTTCCTTGTTAGGTGGCCTGGTGCCTGGAGACTGGGGAACAGGGGTCACCGCGGTTCGGGATCTGGAGGACGGATTCGTAGCACAGGACTGGAGGCGAAGTGGAGAGGAGGCGCAGGGCGGGAGGAGGAGGAGGGCGGGCTGGGGTGAGCTGTGAGAGGAGTGTTGGGTCCTCAGCCCACCGCGTGTCCCCATCCGGGTCTCTCGGTGGTGGATGCTTCCCGGCTGGCCCACATGGCCTGGTCATCTCAGGAGTGTCTCAGTTCCACCTCAGAGCCGAATTGGGGCCCGCGGTGGGGCCGGCGGAGGTTGTGGTGGCGGATGCTGAAGAGCCGCTGGGTGAGGCCCAAGGTGGCCACCAGCAGGGCGACGCCCAGGAAGAGCAGCACCCACTGGCCCACCCGGGCCTGCTGCTCCTCCAGGTTCAGACCCAGGAAGTTGACGCGGCCGTGGCCCGGGAAGGGGCTCTCCGAGCGAGCTGGGCAGGGGAAGCAAGGAGAGCAGGGCGGTGGGCGGGGC